AATGATGAGGAGGAGGACAGTCAATGGGGGCGGAGGAGGATCAGGAGGAGGAGGAGGAAGAGGAGGAGGAGGAGGGATAATAATAGTCATCATACATGGATAGTAAGAAGAATGATGAACACATTGTTGCGAAAATATTAATCAAAATGCAATGCTACGAATACTCAAGACTAGCGCGACTCATACTACTAAGCCTGATACTGTTAAGACTGCTAAGAAAAAAGGCTGATGGTGATAATCCCAATGCTCATAATCATGATAGCCGTACTAATGCCTTCGATAAGAATGGTATTTACCATGACCACATCAACAGTAATTATACTAAAAACGAATGATCGCGTTAGTAAAACAATACGGATGATACCATTAATGGTAGTACTAGTACTGTATCACTTATACGTATTGACACTCGTAAGACTTGAAACGGTACCATGTCTAGTGATACCAAGCATATCCATACACATATTAATGTTACCATGAACGCTACTAACACTTTCAACGCTATAAGCATTATTACCAATAATACCAATCTCAACACTCCGAAGAGGAATGACACAACCAATACGAATGATACTAATCAGAGGAGGAGGATAATGTGGGCGGAGGAGGATAATGGGGGCGGAGGAAGATGATGATGATGATGATGATGCTGATGATGATGATGATGATGATGATGATGATAAAGATGATGATGATGATGATGATGATGATGATGATGATGATGGTGATGATGATGATGATGCTGATGCTGATGATGATGATGATGATGATTATGATGATGATGATGATGATGATGATGATGATGATGATGATGATGATGATGATGATGATAATGATAATGATGATGCTGTTGCTGCTGATGATGATGATGATGATGATGATGGAGATGATGATGATGATGATGATGATGACGATGATGATTGATGATGATGATGATGATATGATGATAGATGATGATGTTGATGATGATGGGATGTGATGATGATGATGATGATGATGATGATGAGATGGATGATGATGCTGAGGAGGAGGAGGAGGAGGGGAGGAGGAGGAGGAGGAGGAGGAGGAGCGAGGGAGGAGGAGGATGGGGGCGGAGGGGGAGGAGGAGAGGAGCAGGAGGAGGAGGTAGGAGGAGGAGGAGGAGGAGGAGGAGGAGGAGGAGGATGGGGCGGAGCGGAGGAAGGAGGAGGTGGAGGAGGAGCGAGGAGGAGGCAGGTAGGAGGAGAGAGGGTGAGGAGAGGAGGCAGGAGGAGGAGGAGAGGAGGAGGAGGAGGAGGAGGAGTGGGGGCGGAGGTGGGGGAGGAGGCAGGAGGAAGGAAGGAGGAGGAGGAGGAGGAGGAGGAGGAGGAGGAGGAGGAGGAGGAGGAGGAGCGATAGGGGAGGGATGGGGGGGGGGCACGGGGAGGAGGAGGAGGAGGAGGAGTAGGGGAGGAGGAGGAGGAGGAGGAGGAGGAGGAGGAGGAGGAGGAGCAGGAGGAGGAGGAGGAGGGGGAGGAGGAGGAGGAGGAGATTAGGATCATGTGGGCGGAGGAGCAGGAGGAGGGAGGAGGAGCGAGCAGGAGGAGGAGGGAGTAGGAGGAGGATGAGGATTATGGGGGAGGATGAAGGAGGAGGAGGAGGAGGAGGAGGAGGAGGCGGAGGAGGAGGAGGAGGGAGGAGAGAGGAGAGGAGGAGGAGGCAGGAGGAGGACGAGGAGGAGGAGAGGGAGGGGGGGAGAAGGCACAGAGGTGGATCAGCGACGCGTGGATGAGGGAAGGGTCTGGCTTTCGTGCAGATTCTGCGCGCTCCGTCGCCAAATCGGGCGGCCCTGGCCTGACGTTGCGGGGGTCACCTTTCCCGATCCGTGCGGTCGTGGCCACGGTGGGTCCAGGCCGCACACAGGGTCCACGACGTAGTCTCAGGAGCGGCGTGAAACCCTGGCCCCTCCCGAGTCCAAAGCGGTCCTGATTTCAGCGCCTTGGCTATAGTCCATCTCAGCGTGTTCCCGATGCATGCGCGGGGTCTCGGCGTCCAGACTGGCTCTTGACTTTGCCCGCAGGCGGCCCCCCAGACGCCCCCATGCGGCCCCTCCGGACCCCGCCTCCCCACAACCGCAGTGCCGGCCGCCGGCGCCCTAGGGCCCGTTTTGGAGCTCTCGTGGGGGGGGGGGGGCCTCCGCCCTGGAGGCCAGATCGACTTCTTGTTTGCTTCTCTCTAGGCTCTCAGATGGTCCGAGTAGATGGATTCGGAGTATCGCGCCGCATCGCCGATACATCGGCGATGCGGCTCGATGTGGAGCGCGATTTTCTCCACGCTCTCGGCACCGATGCACCGCCGACGTCGCCGATGCATCGTCGATGCGTCGTCGATGTATCGCCGATGCATCGCCGATGCCTTGGCCATGCATTGGCGGGGCGGCGCGATCCTCCGACCCCATCTCCTCTGACCCCATCTAGGAGGCCCCCATGTCTGCTTTTCACAGACTGGGGTTCGAGGGTGCTCGTGGTTCGGTCGGTCCGGCTGCGTCGCAGTGGCTTCGCGTCCGGCTCGGTTCCGTCGGCTGCTGTGCCGTTGCCACGCCGCTGCGCCCTTCTGCCTGCTGCTCGCTGCCCACCGATTCCAGTCGGTTTCGCTTTCGCGGTCGGTTCGGTCGGCTTCTGGTCTCTGGTTGTCGCCGTGGGCGGCCTCGGGGGGGGGGGGCTCGCGCTGGCCTGCCACGCGCCGCCCAGAGGTGCACGTGATCACCGGGGACACCATCATGTGGGAGGCGGATATGGAGACCAAGATCGAGGCACCCCCTCCCCTGCCTCCTTCTTCTCCTCCTCACCTCCTCCTCCCCTGTTTCCAGTTTCCATTTTGCACCGAAGGATCCGCAGTCCACAGAGAGCAAAACCTTCAGCAGAAAAAGGGGGGGAAGGAGGAGGAGAGGGCACCAGCTACACGGCCTGCCGTCCATACAGCCGTGTGCTGCGCTCAAGCAGATGTCGCCTGGCACTCGGGTCGCGGCCTTCCTTGAGAAAAGCAAGAGACTGCGCCGCTGCATCGTTGCGTGGCCGCCCCATACAGGGGGCCAGGAACAACTGCATGCGCTGCCAGGCAAACGCTCCGCAACTCGAGCACCAGACGATGGGGAGGGGAGAGCCAGGATCCCCTGCCCACAGTCTGTGGGACGGGTGGGCGCTGCGCGCCACAGGCGGCCATCCCTGGCACCTGTAGCTGGCCAGGGAGGAATACGTCCGACCTGTATCAATGCACCTGGCGCACAGATAGCCCTTACCCCATCTTCGGATAATGTGACCATTGGGCCCAGGAACCAACACAAGGCCGCTGCTCGGCTTGCACTTGCGGGCAATCACCTTAGTAATGTCCCGTATGGACGGGCTGCACACATGTTCAAGCATGGACGCTGTGAACCTGCCGAGGGCGACTATATTCTCTTTCTGCTGACAGAAGCGCTCAAGCAGGCACTGGGGGTGCGGAATCTCGGCAGCATCCCTCTTGGCGGCCAGGTCCGCGACCCTGTTCCCTCTCCAGGCCCAAAATGGGACCTCAGTGCTTGCCAGCGCTGGCCAGCTCTTGTGCGCTGGCACCTTCCTGACTCGTACAAGGTCGGTGCCTAGGTCGCGATGCCTGCTGCAAATTCAGCCCAGAATTCGCCATACGGGATGCCGACTGTGTCGACGTCCACACCTTGTTTCCAGACCTTCAGGACAGACTCACAATCAGACGCAAACTCGCACTCGTCTGGACCCAAGAGGCAGAGCCACATCAAAACAGCAAACACTTCAGCACCGTAAATCGTGTGGATGCCGTGCTCGAGTGGGCCGCTCGCCGACGCAACAACTGTACCAGCGTCGTCGGCAACCACAAGCGCCCACGCAGCCCTCGTGAAGAGGGGCACCTCAGGGTCGAGAGCCGACCCGTCCACGCGAACCTTGCCAGAGATCCAGCCGTGGCGAGGAGGGATCGTCCAGCGCCAAGGTCGGACACCGCGGAGCCTGGGTGTGTGAGAAACTACAGACGGGGCTAGGCATCTAGACAACAGGGGGTCATCAGGCCCGCCTCGAGCCCAAGACCTCAACAGGTTGTCATATCCCAGCCTCCCCCTGTGAGACGCGCGCGCGTCACAACAAAACAACCGATGGTGGCGGGAGCCTGAGCTCCGTAGCAGAGCTGGCATCGTTCGTCCAGCACCTGTCTGTCCTGGAACAGCTCTGCCTGCGGGACCAGACCACCCGCGACGTGGGTCGAAAGCAATCCCGCCTGCAGCGCCTGTCCCGACAACCTCCGGCCAGAGCAAACAGTTGCCACTTCATCTAAATCTGGCCTAGAAAAGCTCAAACCTTCGTGTTCCCAGCCTAGCCTAGACAGAAGATGATCTTTGGTACCTAGCTTAACTACCTGGGTGAGCGTGCGCTTACGTATCGCGTTCAAATTCAGCACCAGGCCCGAAGGGATGACCCACTCACAGAAGCTCTGGGGGCGCCACTCGAGTCTGCGAAGCGTAGGCAGCACCGCTCCATTGGGCCCTTTGACCTCACTCCAGGTAAATTCTTCACCTCGCTGGGACAGGACATTAAACGCGAGCTCCATCTGGCCCCTCGGGGCCCACTCCTGCCAAAGGGCCTGGCCCCAAGCAGCAAGGGGCAAGGCATCGGCTACATGCGCAGGGTCGGCCTCGGGGCTGGGGGAGAGCCAGAACTGTATAGTCCTAGATCGGCCTCTAGCAGGCCCAAACAGGCCCATGCCTACGGCAACCCTCAGAAGCTCAAGTTGTTTCGTAGCAGCCCTCATAATGCTCAACCCATAGGATCCTGACGGAAGGGCTCAGATTTAGCGACCATGGTGAGTTTACGAAACTGCGACTTCAGCGACCGAAGCCGTCTTGCTCGTGCTCGAACTTTATGTATCCTGCTTGCCTGCACTGCCGACCTGCGACCTCCGAGTTTCTTCTGGGTGAAGTCCACCCCCAGATTTTTGACGTGTCCTACCTACTGGCTTGAACTCCCACGCACTGAGGCCGTGCGAGATCTTGGCTGCAATGTCCGACTCCTTGCTAGTAGCTTTGCCGTTCGACCGTGAGACAACCAATTGCAGCCTCCCAAGCCCTCTGCAAAGAACACGTGTAGCGGCGACAGAAGTGGCACATACAAATCTGGCGGTGCCAATAGCATGCGTGGTGGTATCGTCCACCACATTGAAAACCGCAACCCTGGGAACCGCCTGCTGCAGTCGTCCAGCAGCTCCAGGATGAGGAGCCGCAGGTGAGAAGTAGCATCCCAACATCATGCAATGATCGTGGATCCCAGCTTCACGCACCTGGATGCCCGTCGGCCCAAGAGTAAACATCTCGGCGCCCTGTACACCTGCAGGCACACGCGAAGATGGTGCAGTGGGAACTTCAACCTCCTGGCTGCTGCTATAAGCGGTCCGTGCTGAACCTTCTCGTAAGCCTTGGACAGATCGATGAAAGTATTGGCTGTGTCAAACCCCCCAGGACAAGGAATATCCAGTGGAAAACGCTTGCGCCCAGACGGCCCTTTCACAGGACCTGCCACGGGTCCCATACAAGTAATTGCGATCGTTGGACGCCCCCCAGCTCATAGCAGCACGCCTCGAGCACTTCCCCCACTGTCTGAGGGTCATGCCGATGAGCCCAGTCAGCCCCGTATTCTCCTCCAGGCTTGGGAATAGACGACATAAAAACCAAAGAGAGCTGGGATGGTAGTTGGCCAGACCTCAACATCCAGCTCCAGAGGCGACATAGTGCCCCCAGACACGAGTCGGAGGCCGAACAGAAGTCACTGGGTCCCAGTCGATCGGCGCCCACCGCAGTCCAGGCCTTGAAACTTCTGGCGGCGCGACGGATCTCGGACGGCTCGAAGCATGCGTTGGGACAGTCCTGGGTCTCACTATATGTCGGAAGGGCTTGCAGGTAGTCCTCGTCATCGCGGGATTCGGACGAGCCCCAAACCTCCTCCCAGTCCTGGAGATATCCTCCAAGTTCTTCCTCGGGGCCAGGGGGGGCTCCCGAGCCTCGGCGAACATGGATAGGCTTCCAGCCTACGAGTAATTTGGTGTAGCTATGCGCTCTTCCTCCTCCGTTAGCCACCGCTTCCTTGACACATTTCCTCCATTCCATACCTCGCGCCCTTGAAAATGACGACTCCAGCTTCGCTGCCTGCCCAGCGGCGAGCTTCGAACACTCGTGCAGGCCTGCTGCAGACATAGCCGACCAAATAGCTGGCGGGCGGCAAAAAGGGTCCAGGCGGGCGTCGACCGCAGCTGCTCAGGGCCTATGGATATCTTGGTCAGGAGGCAAGAATAGACAAGCTGGCTGCGACGGGCGCTCGGCTTGGCAACAACGTACCCGAGCTCACGCAGCCAGTTGGCCACCCTTCTCCACGCCAGGGCCTCCTCACTCGCATCAGGGTGCGGCCCTTTGCCTTTAGGCAGACCTGGTAGCCTCTTGAATGCCCATCCTCGTCCCCGACCTTAGTATCTCGGAGCCTCGCTATCCTCGATCCCGTGGGCCTTGATAAGCTCCTCTTCCAACAGGCCCATGAAGTCCCTGTATGCCGTGTCGAGGTCCTCCTGGGTGCCCTGTGCCTCCAGAACACCGAAGAGCTGTTCCCATCCAAGAACAGGCGCAGGAAGGGGTCCAACAGGTGCCTCTCTTGGAAACCTCGCAGGCCCTTTGAACACAACCATGCTGCTCGGGATCGCCTTACTATGCAGTCTGAGCCCCACAGGCCTATGGGGAGCCAAAAATGAGTTGACCGCCGCAGCACAACTGATCACACTCGGTGCCAAGACATCCGCAACCACGAAGTAGTCCAGGATTCGCCCATGTCCCGACCTACAGGTGATATCTTTCGGGGAGACTATCTTGGCCTTCAGCTTGGACGGCCACCCCTGCTGGCTCAACTCGTCAGGAGTAGCGTTCCAGTCGCCACCGATAATAAAGGGCCGTCCCAAGGAGTGTAGAGCTTCCTCACCTCCGCCTCCCCTCCTCCTCCTCCTCCTCCTCCTCCTCCTCCTCATCCTCCCTCTCTGCCCCTCGCTCCCCTTTCTCCCCCGCTTCCTCCTTCCCCGCTGTTCCTTCTGCAGAGCAGCCAGCTCCGATGTGTGTACCCCAACGATGACCGCCACGCCAGGCAGCGATCCTCACGGGCAGCTCTTTGGTGCTTGCTATCGCTCAGTCTTTGGGAAACCCGAGGATCGTCGCCTCCGTGCGCGTTTCTTTCTTACCATCCTCCTCATCATCGTCATCATCATGATGATACTCATCATCAGCAGCATCAGCACCACCATCATCATCTTCATCATCACCATCGGCGCATTTTCTTTAACAGCATCACCATCCATCAACACCATCAGCCTGTCGACAACTATGACCATCTATTTTGCCTGACGGCGTTTGCAGCTAGCATAATATCCTGGGAGGGAGGTTGGCAGATCCCTCAGGCTGTCGGCAACCGTAAGCGCAACCTTCCCCTCCAAGGCTCATCCTCCTCCCTCTCCTCCTTCTGCTCCTCTTTCTTCTGCTGCTCCTCGCTGTCCTTCCGCTCCTTCTCTGCATTCTCTGGTTTCTCCTCCTCCTCGTCGTCCTCCTCGTCATCTTCCTTCTCCTCCCCCTCCCCCTCCCCCTCCCCGTCCTCCTCCTCGTCCTCCTCTTCCTTCTCCTTCTCTTCCTCCTTCTCCTCCTCCTCCTCCTCCTCCTCCTCCTCCTCCTCCTCCTCCCTCTCCTCCCTCTCCTCTCTAATTTCTCCATTCCCCCTTCTCCCCCTTCTGCTCCTGCTCCCTCTCCTCTGTCCTCCCCCTCCATTTCTGCCCCCCGCCCCTCCCAGGGCTCCTCAAACTCAGCGCGATTCAGTGCTAGCAGTTGGAGGCTATCCAGAAGGAGTGTCCGTCCCCGAGCTGCCGAGAAGAGATTGCTGACTGCCCAAGCGACGACTCGACTCGATTTGACTCCCTCCTCCTCCTCCTCCTCCTCCTCCTCTCCTCCGCCTCCTCTCCCTCCTCCTCCTCCCGCCTCCCCCCTCCGCTCCTCCTCCTCCTCTCCTCATCCCTTCTTCCAGTCCCTCCCGTCCTCCTCCTCCTCCTCCTCCTCCTCCTCCTCCTCCTCTCCTATTCCTCCTCCTCCTCCTCCGTCTCCTCCTCTCTCTCCTCCCTCTCCTCCCTCTCCTTCCTCTCCTCCCCCTCACCCCCCTCTCCTCCCCTCCCTCTTCTGTCTCGTCCTCCTCCTGCTCGCGCGACCTCCTCTGCAGATCCCGCGCCGCCGCCCAGTGGTTGGGACGGGCGGGGCAGGTGTTCAAGGATGACCCCGACGCTTTCTACACGCAGGCGCGGCCGGGGCGTGTGGGGTCTCCAAGGGGTGGGGGGCGGCCAAGAGGGGGGTAATGACTGCAGGCAGTGGAATATTGTTGCTAGTGCGCTTCCAGCCATTATGCTGCTCTATCGGGGGCAGCTTCAGGGGGAACGTCTTGGTTTCTCCCCCCTCTCCACGTCCACCATCTCCCCTCCAGGCTCCATGCTCCCGACGTGCGCGCGCATGCGCGGACCTGCGCACGCGCGCGCGCGTACCTCCCTTGCCCGCCCACGCACGCGCGTGCGCACGCACACTCGAGGAGGACAAAGAGGAGGAGGAGGACGAAGAGGAGGAGGAGGAGGAGGAGGAGGAGGAGGGAGAGGAGGAGGAGGAAGAGAAGGAGGAGGAGGAGGAGGAAGAGGAGGAGGAGGAGGAGAAGGAGGAGGAGGAGGAGGAGGAGGAGGAGGACCCCCCCTCCAACTTATGTTGGTGGAAAACACGCACCCACCAACGCACACCTACACATTTTGGCGTCGCGGTCACGCGCGCGGGGCGTGGCTCGGCGTAGCATGCGTCAAGCGAGCGCGCGCCCTGGCCTGGCTCGGGCCGTGAGGAGCAGCTGGACCCACCAAGAGGGGATCGACCGCGGCACTCTCGGGGGGGCAGCCGCACGGGGACAGATGGTGGAAAGTCGACTAGACGTACGAGTAACCTTTCACCGGAGTGACCTTTGGTGCGGGCCCAGTGGGGCCCCCCTATCGCCGAACGCGATGCGATGTTTAGCGTCTTGCGCGTCTGTGTTTGGTCCCCCCGCGGCCCCCAAACAGCCGCGCACCAAAGGTCACTCTTACCCAGGGTCACTCCTGCGTGTAGCCGAGAAAGTCAGGCGATCGCAAACATGGATTAAGGGGGCGTGGATTAGCGACGGGTCCCGCTTCCATGGGAAAGCGCGGATCTCCGCCGCCGAGCGAAGCGGCGCCGGCCGCATTTTGGGGAGGGCACTTCCTCCGATCCATGGATTTGGCGGCCGCGCGCCAAATCCATGGATCGCTAAGCCCTGTTTGCGCGCCCCCGAGAAAGAGGGGAAGGAAGGGACAAGGGGAAGGCGAGGCAGTGCGACGGCGCCACGCCGAAGCAGCAAGCGAGCCGCAGCGGGCAGGCGGCAACGACTGCCAGCCAGGACGGACAACGAAGACAGCGCAGGAACCTGGGCCAACCAGTAGACAAAGGGGGGAGACGACGACCACCCATGCAAACGCGGTGCGACGACGCATGCGGCAGGGCGTGTGAGCAAGGGGCCCCGTTTGAGAGCGAGGCGTGAATACAGGGCTAGCAATCCCGCCCACCGCGGTGCCCGTTGCTTCTCCTGTCCGCCGCCGAGATCTATTTCCGAAGTCCCAAGCGGGGCGTTGTTTCATAGCCCAACTCTTATAAGGGAATCGCGTCCCAGCAGCTCATGCTGCAAATCAGGGTGCGCTCCAGAACCCGTCTTTTACTCTACGTACGAGTGGCAGTGTTCCAGCAGCACGCGGCATGCGTTCCAGTACCCTGTCTTAATTGGGGACAACATTCCAGCAGCCCGCGACGCTCGCTCCGGCACCGCATTTCTACCGAGCGTGAATGGTCCACCGAGCTCCAGCGCTGCATTTTTACCTTGGCATCGCTCGGATGTGTGCATCTTTCTGGGCGAGGACCATCAAGAAGCATCTGGGATCATCTTGCGAAAACTAAGCGCACAAAGCCGAATAACGCACGGTTAATGGACGTCCGAGCGATGGCAAGTTGCCGAGTGCGACCGTTCCAGCAACCCATGGCGTACGCTCCAGCAGTCTCTCTGTGTGCAGAGCGCTCCAACACTTGATTTTTACCGAGCGCGAATGGTCCAGCATTTCGTGGAGTTAGCTCCAGCATCGCATTTTCGATTCGGCGCGGGCGCTAGAACCTCGGCCTCGGCTCGCGCAGACGAGCTCGCCTGGCCCGAGGGGCGGACATCCTCATGGCGGGCTCCATGCCACCTCCCCCGATTCCATGGCCCCCGCTTCTGATTGCGAAGGCCTTACGGCCAGGGCCGCCGACCCTGAAGGGAGACGACGACGACGACGACGACGACCACGACGACGACGACGACGACGACGACGACGACGACGACGACGACGACGACGACGACGACGACGACGACGACGACTTCCCCCGATTTCGTGCCCCCCCCTTCTGATTTCAACGCGTTCTTGGCGGGGTGGACATGCTTCCTCCTCCTCCTCCTCCTTCTTCCCTCCTCCTCCTCCTCCCCTCCTCCCCCTCCTCCTCTCCTCCTCCTCCTCCCTCCCTCCTCCTCCTCCCCCTCCCTTTCCCTCTCCCCTCCTTCCCCTTCCCTCTCCCTCCTCCTCCCCTTCCCTCTCCTCCTCCTTCCCCTCCTCCTTCCCCCCTCCTCCTCCCCTCCTCCTCCTCCTTCTCCTCCTCCTCCTCCTCCTCCTCCACCTCCTGATTTCCTCCCAGGGCCGCGCGCGTTCATAGATGCAATGAGCTGCACCCCCCCCTGGCCACGCTGCCCTGCCTGCACGCGCCCCGACTCGGAGCGGGGCACGGGGGCACCCCGACCTCCCCGCGCCCGTGGTGCCCTTGGCGCTCCTCGGCCTCTGCCGCCCGGGGGCCCCTGCCATGCCCAGGGGCCGTCCTCGCCGCGCCAACATCGCAGAGCGGACTTCGTTCGGACAGCGATAGGGGCGTGTCCCCCTACAGGGGGATTGTCGACGAAAAATAAAGGATACCCCAGATATGCCCCAAGAAGGTCAAACAATACGGCAAAAATAGTCCCCAGACTATTTTTCGACTATGTTTTGATTATTTGTGGAGTATTTTTTATTTTTCGTCGAAAATCACCCTGTAGGGGGACAGGCCCGACTTAACGATAGGGTGGGCCCGGAGTGTCCCGGAGACTGGACTTCGAGGTGGATTTCGTGTGTTTGTTTTTTTGGCCAGGAACGAGGACAACAAGAACAGCAGAGCACCCACGCGAGATTCACTCCGTTTTTGCGCTCGTCGCTTCGGGCCAACGTCCACGCAGAAATCCACGCAGAAATCCGCCGCAGCACGTCTGCAGACAGTTTTTGTTCATCATGTTCGATTCTTTGGGGGTAGTTTTGATCTTCCGTCCCAAATCCTCCTGTGGGGGGACATGCCCGACCTGACGCCAGGGGCCCTTGCCATGCCCCGGGCCCGTCCAAAAGGCAGCGATTCGGGGTGAGAGGCCGGCACGCCTCCGGGGAGCCCGCGCGCTGTGCGCAGGGCGCGGCGCTGCCTGTTCTTGTTCGGCCTCCGGGGGGCCCTCGCCGTGCCCTGGCCGTGCCAGTCGGAAGGCGGCCCGGGAGAAGGCGCCAGTCCCCGGGAAGGGGTCCAGGCTGGAGGAGGAGGAGGAGGAGGAGGAGGAGGAGGAGGAGGAGGAGGAGGAGGAGGAGGCAGGGGGGGGGGAGGGGGAGGAAGAGGAGGAGGAGGAGGAGGAGGAGGAAGAGGAGGAGGAGGAGGAGGAGGAGGAGGAGGAGGCGGAGGCCCTGGGTGGGACGGGCCAGGACGGGCCAGGGCGAGGAGGAATCCTCGCCTCACCGAGCGCGTTCCACTGCTACTCGCAGACATCCGGAAAACATATGTCTGCATCGATTCAGGCCCCCGGAGACCAGGACACAGATAAACCAGGACACGGAGAACCAAGGTAACGACACCCTTTTCTGCAAAGTCACATTTTTCAGAACCCGTGCATTGTTTGTTAGCTGCACTGCAGGATTCGGGCTTGTGTCCGGGTTTAGGGGTGTCTTGCAGGCTTTTGGGGCCCGTGTCCGGGCTTATTCTGGAAGTGTTGCAGTGCAGTATTTTGTTCGTGCCGCCGTTTTGAAAAATTGGCTTCGAGGGATGTTGGGTGTCCGGGTCTAGCGTGTCCGGGTCTACGGGGCTCTGATCGATGTAATGTGCGGTAAGTCCCCCATGGCGGGTCCAGGCCAGTTGCGAGTAGCCAGCTTGCGAGTAGTGGAACGCGCTTGTCAAGTGCCAGAGCGCTCCGGAGCGCTCTCAGATCGTTCCAGGACGCTCCGAGGAGGCCGCGGCGCCCGAGACGCCCCCCAGAGCCGCCGGATTTAGCATCCTCGCCAGATGTTGTATCCTCGCCCGACGCATCCTCGCCCGATGTTGTGCCCTCCAGAGGCTGTCGATGTATCCTCGCCCGATGCTGTATCCTCGTCCTGGCTTCCGGTCAGGGGAGGCGGGAGGGCGCTGAGGCCAGGCAGCAGCGCCAGTTTTGGCGGGGCCCAGGCCTGGTCTGGCCAGGGTCGGTGTCGGTGTAGGGTTACGTCGGGCATGTCTCTCTACAGGAGGGATGTTCAGAAGTAGTTTAAAAGATAGTCAGGGGACGAATTTCCTACTATTTTTGACTGTCTTTGATTGTTTTTGTTCGATGTTTTCTTTTTTCTTCCAAAGTCCGCCTGTAGGAGGACATGCCCGACCTACGGCTGGCCTCCATGAGGTGCTTTCGGATACAGTGGGAAGCCATGTCAAGAAACACCCTGCTTGCCTCCAGGGTGCCCCTGGGCCCTGGGTTTCTTGGGTTTCGATGGCTCTGCTGTGGAAGGCGTGACGTTCCCACGCCATAGATCCATGGACGTCCCGGGGTCTCTGGGTTGGGTTTCCTGTCGAAGGTTTCTCATGGTCGAGCTCCTACTGTGCTTTTCGATAGTGAATCACACCGGCTTCCGCTCGTCTTGGATCGGAGATGTATCGGCGACTGGCGCCCCATTGCGCTCCATTGCGCGCCGAATAGCGCCAAACAGCGCCGAGTAGCGCCCAAGAGTCAGTGCCGACTGGCGCCCAACCAGCGCCCAACTATTGGCGCCCGACAGCGCCCAATAGCGCCATGTAAGGGAGATGCATCATGCCCGCTTTGCGCCCAAGCGGGCGCGCTGCTGGACGCCGTGGGGACGACCGAAAGCTTCCGTGAGCTGCTTTCGGAGTGTTTGAACAGCTTCTTCGTAGGACGTTCCTGCATGCCGTC